GGTGTGGTGCTCAACTGGCCCACAGTTTCCTCAGAGTACTAGCTCAGTTTATATTACAACTGCATTCTAGAATCGCAACTACCTTTATCGATTATATATACACAGGACAACTTGAAGTCAACGAAGCGAATGCGGCTGGGCTGATTGTGCTGTCACAACAGCTCGTAATGCCTCACGTGGAAGAATGGGCAGTGCATTTTATGGCCGCCAGGTGAGTATTTTCACATCATCACTAGCTCGTAGGCTGGATTCTGAAAACATAAAAAAGCGCTGGGACCTGTCAGATTTGTTGAAAAGTGACCATTTGAGAAACGCCTGCCTGGAATACATAAAGAAGACATTTGAGGCCATCGCTGTGAGTGATTTATTCATACAGCTACCATCTGACGTCGTCCTGTCCCTGTTCCGGGCAGACGACCTTCAGGTGGACAGCGAAGAGACTGTCCTCAAGGCGATTGGAAGGTGGGTCAGTCCACTCGGTGAAGTGGATGAAACACGAGTGGTGCACGCGGCAGCTATGATGAAGGAGATGCGGTGGTATCAGGTTGACGCCGACTTTCGATACCAGCTAGATGATGAGGATGGCTTTTGGAATACAAATATGGAATGTCTGTAAGTGTACCGACCGCATTTGTCATTTTGAATTATTAAAGACGACTTCTAGGTCAAATAACCAAATGGATTGACATTCCATCCTCGAGGGGCGATAAACGATGTCCCTTTAATGAGAGGCGCAGAGAGAAATTAGGTCACTCAGCGGATAGTGACTGCCTATTGAATGCGCACCGCTCGAATCCCCTGGAGGAAGTCTGTCTGCAGGGTACGTCAGCGAACGGAGACCAACGTTTGCTGACCCGGTACGATGGTGACACACAGACGTCGCGGAGGAGCAGTCACCAATTGGCTGACTCAGCGGAAAGTGACTGCTTATTGAATGTGCACCGCCGAAATCCACTGGAGAAAATCTGTCTGCTGAGTACGTCCGCAAACCGTAGACAATGTTTACTGACCCTGTATGATGCTGACGAAAACACTTCGCAGCACCTGATGGACACAACGACGAACGCATCCTTTGTGGCCATTGAGGGTTAGTCTGAGTTACTCCAACTCTTTGCAGCCTTATTACTCTTCTGAAGAGTCGTGGCAAATTTATAGTCTAACATTTGTCATGGATAGTCACCGTCATTAATACGCCCAGTGCGGGACCTATTTTCACGCACACACAGTTGCGTTTTGATACATTTACCTCACTGGATTGATACTTTGCATTAACGTGTTTACTCATGTATTTACCTCTTTACCCACTCTGCTGCTGATTACTACGAAACAGATTGCATCTTTGCAGCTGGAGGACACCCGAAAGAAAACCGCTATACAAACATTGACACCCTCAATATAAGTTCCGCTGTAGCGTTTAAATATACATACGACATATTCATGTAGTTTTCTACTGCACTTCTTATTACTCCCGAAACAGACTGCATCTTTGTAATTGGAGGAAACAAGCGAGAGGACGAATATACAAGCATTTGGAAATTCGATACAAGGACACGTCGATGGACCGAATGTGTGCCCAGAGTGGCGGGAGAAACATACAGCGGTCGCCGTTGCAGTTGGCGAGAAAACCATCATCTGTGTCTCTGGAAGCACCCACTGGGA